TACAGGAATCACTGCTATTGGAAAAAGAGGCTAAAGAAGAGGCCAGAAAAGCTCAGGCTGAGACTGAAGCCAGAAATAAGGAGCTGATTAAAAAAGTTGAAGATTCTGACCGCAAAGTGGATCAACTCCAGGAATTGGTTCAGAGGTTAGTAAAGCTTGTGGAGATAAAGGATCTGTATAGTTAGTGAATACTACTTCTGTAGTGCTTATATTCAGTTTACATTATTACAGAAGGATGAACAAACAATTTTCAGATTCTGATGACAATGCAAATGTATAGAATTTCAATATTATGTAGCTTAATATACTTTATTTTTCTATTCCCTGACCCTACAATGCATCCAAGAATTACTCCTATTATAGTTTGTCTATCAACTGTTATCAACCATTCTCTTCCATCTGTTCATAATGCGTTTTAACTTTTTTTATGCCTTTGGATATGCCTCTTCTTGCCCCATTAATAACCATCTATACCTGTCTTAATATAAATCTAATTTTCAAAAACAACTCTTGTGATGCAGATTGGAGGAAAAAATTTCCAATTCAGAGTCAGAAAATCAAGTTCTTCGCCAGCAAGCATTGGCTGTATCACCAACTGGAAAAGCTCTGTCTGCAAGACCAAGGACAGTGATTATTCAGGTAAGAAAACAAATATGTAATTATTACTCAACATTATAGTATATGAAGAGAGAGAGAGAGAGATTTACAACAAGATTTCATGCATGACATGCAGAGGACACCAGAAAATGGGAATGCTCTGAATGGTGAAGCAAAAATTGGACCAGTAAGAGGATGTTGTTTTTTATGAATATCTATGTAATTAATTTTGGTAATGGAAGGTTTTGTTTAATTTGTTAAATTGTTACCTTCTATATGTTTTAGGATATGACCCTTGCTGCATCATATGTACGGGAGCCTGAATCTGAGGGAAAACCACAAAAATCTCTTAATGAGAAGCAGCAAGTGAGTGGCTACATACATGCGCAGAACAATTTGAATCTGTGATATATACTTCAAACCACCTTTTCAATTTAATTATTTTCCCCTTATTTTCTTGTTGATTCCTCGTAAAAAGTTTCATTTTCTGGTTCAGGAAAACCAGGACTTGTTGATCAAGTGTATATCACAAGATTTGGGATTTTCTGGGGGCAAACCTGTTGCTGCATGTGTCATATATAAATGCCTTCTTCACTGGAGGTCATTTGAAGTTGAAAGAACAAGTGTCTTTGACCGTATCATTCAAACAATAGCGTCTGCTGTTGAGGTGACTTAACTCTATTTGATTACTTGTATATCATTGATGATGCAGTGCTTTTGCTATTAAAAGTACTTGTGTCAATTTCTGAAATGCCAAAAATATGTTACTAACAGTGACTTCTGTACCATTGAAGACCCAGGATAATACTGATGCATTAGCCTATTGGTTGTCTAATACATCTACTTTGTTGTTGCTACTCCAACGCACTCTCAAAGCAAGTGGAGCTGCCAGCTTAACACCACAACGGCGGAGAACAGCATCGTCTTCTCTGTTTGGAAGAATGTCTCAAGTATGAAGCAACTGGATATTCTTTCTGAAGAAAATTTTCTCAGTTTATTTAGATTTCATTTATCTTACAATTTTGGTTGCCTTCCGTGATTCTAGGGGCTAAGGGCATCTCCCCAAAGTGCTGGATTGCCATTTCTTAATGGTCGAGGTCTTAGCAAACTGGAAGATTTACGACAAGTGGAAGCAAAATATCCAGCACTGCTTTTTAAGCAACAGCTTACTGCCTTCCTTGAAAAAATATATGGAATGATAAGAGACAACCTGAAAAAGGAGATATCCCCATTACTTGGACTATGTATACAGGTAAAATATCTTACATTTTTTGGGGGTGGGGGGAGGAAATGGCAATTAAAATTTTCAAAAATTCTCATTGGTTAAGCGACTTTAGCAATTAACAAGTCATGTGGATATTAAGTGAATATCACCTGTTATTTATGTTACTTGTGCAAGAATCATAACGTATATTTATGCAAATTAGACGAATATAAATTGTTTATAAAATATAAGACATGCAGGATATATGTGAAGGAGGCACTATGCTTGTAGTGACTGCTGAAGATTGATAACTAGAAAAGAAAACATTTTCCTCTCTACGTGATAAATCAGGAAGAAATTCATAGAAATGAAAAGTTTCATCTGCTAATTCCACCTATACTATCTTCTTTTCTTATGGTAAAAAGTTGTTTACAAGTATTCCCTAAATCACTAGTAGGTATATGTGCATGTCCTTTGTCTATATGCAGCAGTCACATAAGGCTTGTGTTAAGCTTAATTCTCTGGGTGTATTTATTTGTTTATTTATCTTGTCTTTATGATAAAACAATTGCAGGCTCCAAGGACCTCGCGTCAAAGTTTAGTAAAAGGACGCTCACATGCTAATGCAGTTGCTCAGCAAGCTTTAATTGCTCACTGGCAAAGCATTGTGAACAGCTTGAACAGTTATCTAAAGATAATGAAAGCAAACTATGTAAGTTTAACTTTTAGTGTCTGCATTTCAGTTGTCTGAATATGTTCTGAACCTCTTAAGGTCTGGTTTAACAGGCGCCCCCTTTCTTGGTCCGTAAAGTGTTCACTCAAATATTCTCATTCATCAATGTTCAACTATTCAACAGGTAATCTTTCTCTCCCCTCTTTGCAATGCATGTCATATTGCAGAATTCAGACTTTTTGATTGACCTAATCTGATCACTTCTGCAGTCTTTTGTTGCGTCGCGAGTGTTGTTCGTTTAGCAATGGGGAGTATGTAAAGACAGGTTTGGCTGAATTAGAACAGTGGTGCATCGAGGCAACAGAGGAGGTAAGCACAAAGCAACTATTTCGGATCTTTTACTTTTTCCATTTTTAAATCTTCATCTCGATCTATTGTGCACAGTATACGGGCTCCGCTTGGGACGAACTGAAACATATCAGGCAGGCTGTTGGATTCCTGGTAAGAGTCAGTTCGATACAAATTCAAATTCTATTCAATAGCGTTGCCTATCGTGTAAACAACCGACTCTCATTCTTCTGTCTCAGGTGATACATCAAAAACCCAAAAAGTCCCTGAATGAAATAACAAAGGAGCTTTGCCCTGTGGGTGCCTACTTTCTTTCTAAACTATTTATGATGAGCTCACACTTCGCTCTGATTCTTTTACTAAGTATAATGTATTGGTGCTGCAGGTTCTCAGTATACAACAGTTATACAGGATAAGTACAATGTACTGGGATGACAAATACGGCACTCACAGTGTGTCTACAGACGTAAGTTAACATTGCTAATTTTTGTGGTTCAAATCGGTTTGTTATATTTTTATAAGTCGAACGTGCACATCTTTTGCACAATTTCCAAGCTGGAACACCTGCAATGTGATAAATCTCAAAAGACCTTTCCTGATTATATATGCAGGTTATAACAAGCATGAGAGCTATGATGTCTGAGGACTCTAATAATGCTGTCAGCACTTCTTTCCTCTTAGATGATGACTCGAGGTACAGTATCAACTTCAGCAAACAATTTAATATTGCATTGCTTGTCTTGGTCTTTGCTGTTGCATTTCTTCTTGAACCTTTGAATATGGATGCAGCATTCCATTTTCGGTGGATGACATTTCCAAATCAATGCAACAAGTAGAAGTAGCAGATGTGGATCCTCCTCCGTTGATACGTGAGAACTCAGGATTTGGTTTCTTACTAGCACGGTCAGAGTGATACAAATAATCGGTGATTAATGCCTCTAATGCTCCATCTTGTGGCAATCCCCGGGGCATTGCACAAAGTTGCAGGTGCCAAGCTGTGCATATAATTTCTTCGTCATCACGTATATAGCATATTTTCGCCAACTCAGGCTTCTAATATTGGTTTGTTGCCTGGGTTAATTCATTTTTACCCCTCAAGTTTCATCAACACAAGGGGTTTTGTTAAGAAGCCATGTCACAATTGACATGAGTCACGTGACAAATGGCGATCATAGGTAGAGGCTGGTGTTCAGGCACTGCTGTCACACCTGCTCAAGGTTCTTTTCTCATATTGTTAGTTTCCAAGTGTTATAGGTGGGTGCAGTTAGTGACTCCATGTATTTTATAGAGCTTATTTGTTTCATTTGGTTGCAATTTGTATTTACTTGTGCAATATTCTTTTTTCTTTTTTTAAAATTTAAACATAAGATAGGTTTTTTCCTTTCAACGACTGAGTTATAATGAATGACTCAGTGCCCCTGTACAGACGTGTGATCATTTATTTAAGTTTCATTTCTTTTTTTAATATATCTTGAAATTTCATGTTGAAGGAGGACTAGCATTATATATACTAAAGAAAAAAATTCAATTTGCAATTTACAACTAGAAGTTGCCAGCTTCTAAATCTTAAAGAATATATAATTACTTCCTTTCATACTTCTCCTTGGCATTATGTATTCAAGGGGTTGGTAAAAGATCCTTTTACATATGAAATGTGAAGGTGTGAAAGAATCAACGTACAAATAAATGAATAAACAGTGTAAGTTAGCTACAGCAGAAAGCTCTTCTGGAGGCTTGTTTTGTAATTACCATTTATTCAGTTCAGTCCATGCTTACCTTGCATAATGTTTCGAAGGTGCTTCGGTTATTCTTAATCCCTTCGTGTTGATGAATTGATGGATTCTTCTAATAATTTTGCTACAGTTGCTCTTTTCATTTGTATGTGACACATCTTGAAATACAATGCTGAAATTAAGGGTATGCCCGCTAAACCATGCTGGCTTTGAAACATAGTACCAGATATATAGCGATGTGAACTTCAGCAATTTAAGCACTATCTCGTGTCTAAAAATATTCTTATTTTCAAGTATTGGGAGTTTATTCTACAAAATTATCATCATTTAATTTTAAAAACAAAGAGGGCATAAATCATTGTCATTTTAAGTTTTATACAGTGAAAGGTAAGGGAAAATTCTTTAAGGGATAAAAAAAAAAGGTAATGTGAACTAAAATTAAATGTCACCAAAGAAATTTCAAGTTAATTGATTATTTTTTTTGAAAAAAGTACTATAAAATTATAAGTAATTATTGGTTTGAGACAACCAAGCATAAAATCCTTTTGCAAAATCACGTTTATTTTGCAAAATCCTATCAGTGACACAAATACAACTACAACCTCAACAAAGGACATTGATATTATTAGTTCAGTAAATCAGGAGTCGGATGTCCCAACAGCATTGTTGAACTTCATACCATTTTCCGTCCCCACAGCATTGTTGAACTTCATTCCATTTTCCGTCCCAACAGCATTGTTGAACTTCCTACGATTTTCCATCACAATGGATGATTGATCTAATTGACCTTGGGCAGGTTGCATCTCTGATTTCTTTTTCTCCTTGAGAATTGCCTGCCTAGGCATTACTTCTAAAAGAAAGCTTCCTCCGTTCCATACTGACGCAGAAACCTTGAGTATTTGGAAAACTACATGCAATTCATATGACAAAAATATAGGGACAGTGAGTGCCATGGTTGCCACTGTAAATACGCCCTGAAGAAAAATGTACATTAACATGCGATTTTGATCTCCAAGCAGCCCACTTAAGCGCCACCATATATTGTTTGCTTTCTGAGCTTTTTTCGAGAGTTCCCTATGAAACAATGAAGTCAATAATGAGAGAAAGATCTATCCTACCAATCTAAAACACACAGAAAAAGCCTAAGTTTTTAGTTTTAACCCTTTTTAGAACTTCTATTTGAATAGTTGACATATTTTTATGAAATTAGATAAAAGAAATTGACCCAAAAAAGTGTAGGGAAGTATATGAATGCTCATTGATTACTTGTAGGAAGTCATGACTTCAGGATCTCTTAAAAACCTTTGCCGGCGTAAGACGTTGACAATGAGGAAGTATAGGACCTGCCACAGACTGTAAACTACCAAGGGTACCAGAAACAGCCATGTCCAGAGATATGATTTATCTTCAACATAAGGCCATGTAGCTCGTCGAGCAGATTCCTCTGGATGCATGGCTTCGAAGGTTGCAGGATTCCACCACCGAATGGTAAAGAAAACTATTCCTGGAAAGAACTATTACGTTAAAGGCATAATATAACAAAAAATAGATGCTATAAGAAACATAAAGTTGGCATATCTATCACAAGTCCGTTCCACTGATTGCATATCTTTAACAATGTCATATCTATGTGGAAGTTCTAAAGAACTTTACTAATTGAAGGTATAAAAAAACTAAAATGGTTACGATAAAGCATATCTTAAATCCACTGGTTGTATATGAAAATGAAGGTCTAATAACTTACCAGGTAAAAGATGGATAAGAACACTGACAATTTTGTCAAGAGAGCTGAAAACCAAGCCGCAGCGCCAAACAATCAAAGCCCATGCCAATGGCCCCTGCAAAAGCACTTGAACAAGTCACAAAATCGACAAATAAATTATCCTTGTGCCAAGGAGTCAAATTATCAGGGATAACGCTCTTACCTCAGCAAAAGAAAAGCAAACCATGAAAAGCTTCTCGTTCCTCGGATAAAAAAGAAGACCAACCAAGAAGATTGTATTGGCATAATAACAAAAATCCTGAAACATACTAGACAACCATGTAACTACTTTACTTTCATTGCGTATATTTCTAGAGAGGCAACTCATAACCATATGAAAGAGATTAATGGGAATATTGAGACACAGTAATGATTTTAATTAATAACGGCATGGAAACATAGTTAGAATTGACAAAATCGTCGTCATTAATGATAGAGCTTTCTGATTTAAAAGCTCCAACCAAGTAATAGAGCTTTCTGATGTAAATCTCCAACCAATCATGTTAAATGCTTTAAATATTCGTCCTTTCCAATTGCTTTGGTAATTCAATTAACCATTCTTTTTGCTAACGTCTGTATACTTAAACCACATGAGAAGAAAAATAAAATGATAAGCAAATATTTATAATGCAACTCATCCCTAATCTTTAGTTATTTGGGAATAGCTGGGGCGTATCCATAATCAATGGTCTCCTTCTCTGTTTAGGGCTACATATTCAGTCGGATAGATGCCTATTACCTCAACCTGTTTTTTTTTTTTGGGGGTGAGATTTGTGTCTTTAGGCCTCATTCAACTCAAAAAATGTACTCTTCAATAAAGGAGTTGGCAGTTTTCACCTCTGGTTTTGACAGTCACAGATTATTGATTACTGTCTCATATCACAAACTACCTGCGAATGCTACAAAAGTAGAACCGAACTCAAACTAATCCTAGAAATAAATATAAGCTTCCAGAATCAAATAATGATTCAATACATTATACTTATTACAGTGCACTTCAAAAACAAAATTTGAGATAACTTAGCTTACCAGTAGATAGTAATGCCATTTCAAGAACCTATAGTATATCCAACGAAGAGGAACAAAGGTGAAGTAGAACAAACAATATACATAGGGAGTGTCTTGGGGTCCTGGTAGGAGAAACAAAATGGAAAAAAGAAAGAAAGAAAGAAAAAAAAAATCTGAATTTATTCAAAGAAAAACATTAAAAAACGTTGCGAATGCGTGTGAAACTTATCAACTTACTTGCCCCCAAGATGAAGCAAAACCCACCAAAGCCAAGGACCCCCAAAAGATGCGTCACCTAAACATTTATAAAAGAATGATAAAAAGTTGAAATTTGTTCAGAATCGACATAGTCAGATACACAAGACAAGACTATCCAATGGGTCAAGCTTACTATAAAAAGCCAATTGAATTTATCAGCATCCAAAAAATCAAATAGATAAAAATAAAAGTAAAACGAGAACAACGAAAAACCCACCTTGTTGATGAACCTTTCATGTTCTTCAGCCTGTTTGGCGATCTTAACCGCCTGTTTTGAAAGCAGTTGCTTTTGTTTGGACAGTATCTCCTTCATTTAGCCAAAACCAAAAGAGACCAATAACATCGTACAAATCAAACAAAGAAAAAAAAAAAGAAAAGAAAAGAAAAAAAGTAGACACAATAATGTACGGAAATCAAAATCAACATCGTTTACCTTAGATCTATCTGTGAACCTCTGTTTCACCTTCGGAGGCGAATCTCCATTCGTATACTCTGTTGCATGGTCTTCTTCGTTGTCTGACATTTTTACTACACAGTCGCCAACTCGCGTTCGAGAAGAGAGATGGTGGTGCTCCGAAGTTCCAAGGTTATCACATACTCACACACACACTTCATGAAATCCGAATTGGAATATTCTTGTTAATCAATAATCATTTATACGCATATATTTTTTTTTTTATTATTTATATGAATCATGCCACATTATTATCAATGCAAAGTGTGCTGTTGTTGTTACTTTGTTTATTATAAAATATTATCTTTTGTTTGGTAGGTGTAAAATATTATCTTTAACAGCAATTGGTTCATCTTTTTTTTTTTATAATCATTCCAAAAGATATAATTAATGATTCAAAAAGACTTAACTGGTCAGTTCTTAACTTCTTTGTTTAATTATTCAAAGAATAAATAATTTGAAAAATAATAATGATTTTATGGATATATATTATATCCTAACTACCCACCTAAGAATCCTCAAAAGATAAATATTTAATTATCCTAACAATATCAAATAACAAAGTTATTCAAGATAGAGTCATCATCTCAACAGAAAGGGAGTTAAGTCCTACTGTAACTGGAAGATCTACACAAACCCTAAAGGTAACTCTCATAAATAAGAGACTAAAGATCCCAGGTACATACTTTTCGACTTATTTACTATTATTGTTCACACTGTGCACACACACGTCTCGATTATAAGTATATTGTTTGTGCACAGGGATTGAGATACTGGCTATAAGCCAACTACTTATCTCTAAAACATGTCTGAGTACATACCATTTGATATAGAAATACGGTCTTCTAGGACCTAATAGATGTGATCCTTTAATTATTTTTTACGCCAGAGTATTAATTTCATTAATTAAGTTTAAAAGTTTGATTCAGTAATCTAAGAATTATATTGAGTATGTATAACTGATAGAAAATGGATGATTCCCAGAGAATTATAAGCTAAATTCAGCACTTTAACTTTGGAAAAAAGAATTTGAAGTGGCTAAATACTACATTGTTATCCAGCTAGGCTATCAGCGATACGTTACTGTCGATGAAGACCAGTAATACCGTCACAGACCGCAACAGTGTCCAAAAAGAATTTTATATATACATAATATTCTTTGATATTATACTTGGAAGTTTCGTATCTTCATTTATAGTCGAATTTATATAAATTATAACATTGTTAATGTTGTTTACTTTTATTAGTAATAAAATTTATTATTTTTAAATACATTAATCACTTTTTAAAAGGTTTAACTTTTTTTTGGTGAATGGTTTAACTTCTTTTTATAGGATATTTATCTTTTGATTAAACAAAATATAGGATTGAATAATAACTATTAATCATTATAAGGATATGGATATTGCAAAGAAATAAACTGTGTCTAATTTATTACTCGTCATGTCCGACGATATATTGGTTGGGTAATGCTATCGGGTAGTCAAATATATCATGAGGATCGAAGGGCATATCCATTGAATATACGTGCGTTTTATCTTATTGTGTGGCCCCATTCACCAATGGTTTTTTTTTTTTTTGTAAATTTCACCAATGGTTTTTGTGGTAAGGACATCATCTTTTATTTTAAGAAAATACTATTCTTATTTTACGCGTGATAGTTATCTTTAGGGGGCGTTTGGTTGAGGAAATTTTTTATGAATGATAGGGAAATGATATTCATAGGAAAATGGTAGGAAATGATAGGAAAGTGAGTTTGGTAGGAAAATATAAAAAAAAGTTGTTTGATAGGAAAAAATTTAACCGGAAAAATTAGGTAACTTTTATAAAGTCTATGTTTGGTTGTAGGTAAAATATAGATGGAAAAAAAAAACCAACCAACAAAATCCCAAATAGCCATGCAAATGGGGGAATACCACATCTAAAGTGGGAATATTTTTCCATCAATTTTGATCCAAATAGCCATGCAAATGGGATACCTAACAAACTCATTTAGGTGGGCAAATTTGAAAGCTTGTCAACCAAACATGGGCACCCAATTTCCCCACTTCACATTTCCCTATCATTCTCCTCAAAAACCTTCAACCAAACACCCCCTTAGGGATGTTAACGAGTCAAATCGAGCAGAGTTTTGATCTTAAAAGGTTAAATTTGTGTTTAAAAGTGTCAGCCTGATCAAGTCTGTTACTTGTTATGAGTATAATTATCTGTCTGCGACCTGACTTATGTACAAAAAAATAAAAGAATGATTTAACCTGTTGTCATGTTTAAAAAAACAAGACAACAAAAATTTATTCAAATAAAATATACAATCAAGAACACTGATAATTTCATAAATATTCATAAATTCAATTTATATCCAAACATCATAATATAGAACAAAATTATTCAAAAAAATCTATTTAGCCAATAAAATGTGATGAAATGGATTGAGAAGAGGGAAATAGCTATTACAAGTAGTATAAAAAATATAAAATAAAAAAAATTAATATACTAGACAAGTCTGAGAGACTCCAAGGTCGAGCTTTTGAATTGGAGCATGAAGCTTTTTTATTAAACGAGATTTTATACAAGTCCAAGAGCCTGTTTGGATTCTCTTATTTTTAAGCTAGAAGCTACTTATAAGCTAAAGCTTAAAAAAAGAAGCTAAAAGCTGTTTGGAAATTACATGAAAATTTTAGCTTAAAATTTGCTTAAAAGCACATATTTCAAGAAAATTATCTCTCTCTCTATCTTTATCACTCTTCATTTAAAAAAAAGCACACAATTCAAGAAAAACAGATAAGAGCTTAAAAAAAAGCTCCTCCTAGGAGCTTTTAATTTTCAGTTTTTTTCTTCATTATAGAAAAAAGAGCTTTTCATTATAAGAGCTTTTTCCAAAACCTGTTTGGCCTAGCTTATGCTTATAAGTAGCTTCTAGCTTAAAAAAGAGAGGATCCAAACAGGCACCAAATATGATTCCAACAACCAATTTTAAGCATATAAACTCAGGCCTTCACGAGCCGAGCCAAAGATCTTTGATTCGTTTATCATCCCTAATTATCTTATATTCTTTTACATCAAAAATCTCATTTCATTTTTTTTCTCTTTTCCTTTATTGATTAGTCCCATACGACTTATTTCTACAGCATCAGAAAATTACTCTTATATAAAATAAGAATAATATTCCCTTTCATTTTATATTTCAAAATGTCCCGTGTAGAAATTTAGACAACTACTGTTAAATAAATAAAGATTGTGCACGTATAAAATGAAATTTATTGAAGGTGCGTGGATAATTATTTACAAATAACACACTCTTTTTAATATATTTCTTATTATTAAATAAATTTCACTTAAGTTCCACTAAATAATTTAGATCTATTTTTTATTTAGTAAAAATAACATGAAATTCATCCAATAATAATATATATTGAAAATAAAAATAGTGTAGTGCTAACCTTTTTTAATATTAAATTCTTTTTTTTATAAATATAATAAATACTTTACATTTTACAAAATATTTTTTAATTTTTCTTTTTCTTTTTTATCTTGGTAAACAATTTTTCTTTTTCAATTAGTGTCCCAAGGATCATACTAGTAAAATCTCGATTTATCACTACGATATTATGTTTTTACAACTTTTTACATCAAAATGATTTTATTAATATTCCAAACGCTTTTACATTTTTACAATTTTTTATGATTTTTTTACATTACGATTTTACGTTTTACGATTTTTTATCCCCTTTTCAATTTTACATAAAATCCCAATTTTAACTACCATATTAACGATACTATTAGCAAACATTTTTCTAACGAGTTCTAGTAAATAATTTGAGACAGTTTTAGCTAAGCTTGACAATGGAACGGGTAAAGACAAGGTTTTGTCCAACCCAATCTCGCTCTTAATTAATATTTTAACCTGAATTCACCCTAATAAAAGTAGTAAAACTTACAATATATTTTTCTTATTTTGCCCTTATGATTATTTTAAATATAAATTCATACAATAATTTATTATAATCTTAAAATTAATTAATCTGACAACATATGTAAATTAAAAAACAGGTTTATAATAATTGTTAAATTTAAACCAATAAATATATGTTAAGAATTATAAAATATAAAATTTAATATGAATAAATATATAAATTAATGCATTATATATTATAAAAAACTAAATTAATTTATTTTTATTATACCAGTATTCTCTTCTTTCAATTTTTTTTTTAAAAAAAAAAACACCATAGTATATATAAATATACACAATTAAATATGTTGCTAATAAGACAAGTAATATATTTATTTAGAGAGTAAACACTTTTTTTAGTCCCTGGCAATATCTACGAAGTCCTTTTCAGTCCCTGACAATAAAAAAGGATCAAATTGGTCCCTGAAAGTACAAGAAAAGGGCCACTCTACATATTTGGGAGTTGACATAAGGACTAACATGGCTCTTTTTTTGTAATTTCAGAGACCAATTTGGTTCTTTTTTATTGTCAGGGACTAAAAAGGACTTCGTAGATATTGACATGGACTAAAAATAGTGTTTACTCTTATTTAGAAGATGGATTCGAGAGGGGGAATTTTCAATGAGGACCAGACTTTTCCGTGTACGTGGCGCAATATTTATCTCCAACAACTTTACAAGTAAACCTGACTTTAATGCCATAATTTATAGGTAAAGGATTTTTCGGATTAAATGGATCCAAAATGTGAAAATGATATTATTATTATTTTTTTTATAACAAAAATGATATTATTTTAAGATAAAAATTAAGGTATTTTTATAATTCTAATATTTTGTATAATTATATTAATTTTTATCATTATAATTTTTTAATTTTAAAATGATATTATTTTAAATTCACTGGAGATAATTTTATCTTTAACAATTGAAAAAATATTTTTTCTTAATTTATATCTAGCCTTGAAGGGAGTTTTCTTTTTCCACACTTCAAGCATACGTGTGACTTTTTTTAAAAAAGCTGGTGGTTGAATAATGTTTCAAAAAATGAATTAGAAATTAAATTTATCAATATTCTTAATTGCTTCGATCAATTAAAGTTATGGTTGAACAGTTATTAAATTACAGTTAAACTACATTTAAATCAGAAACATCACTAATTTACAATATAATTTGGTCTATTTTTTTAAAAAAAATTCAGCAAAATATACAAG